GAAGTACAACACAATGAATGAATCCAGTTACCAGAAGAGAGTTGGCTGACACAAAACGTGGGTTCACAGTGGTGTGTGCTCAGTATACACTGGGGTTTATTTCACTGTAACCAGAAGTCTGACATTTCTAAGGCAGTCACTGTTCCACATTCTGTATTTATCCCCCTTACCTCATAAAGAAGATTGTTATGTGAAGTGTGAGTTTTTGTATGGAATACTCTCAAGAAAGCAAACTTTGGTGAGGGAAGGAACCTGGATAATTCTGTGGAAATTGTTCTTAAAAGGGCTGATAAAAATATTTTGGCTTCTGTGTTGCTAATTTTACCCTAAGGGCCTTATCTAGTACATCAATTTTAATATTCTCCAAGCTGAAAGCTAGTATTCATGGTCTTAGCCTCTGAGGGAATAAGAAATGGCAGTATTGCAATTCCTCTAACCATTAAATGTGCATGAATTAGGCACTCACCCTTCCAAAATCAAAAGGAAATAATTAGTTGAAATAAGTAAGCTAATAAATATACACACATTATAAGATTTTTTTATTATCATTGCTTTTTGTGTAATGAACAATTAGGAAAAACTTGGGTCACATTTCTAAGTCAGATTCCTAACCCCGCAGGCAGAGTTCTCAAGAAATCATATGACTTAAGGATCTGGGGTTTGATGATATGTCCTACATATCATGAAACACCATGGGAGCTGGCAGCACAGCAAGAGCATTATAAGGATTTATAAAGCAGCACAAGGTTTTTCAGGTGACCAAGACTAACCTGATTGTTATATGCACGTTAGAGCATATATATCTGTGATGGAACACACAAATGACTAAAATTCTAGATAAATACTTTAATAGATCATGATTTTAGGTAAATTAGTGCACGAAACCTTTTTGACTTGTCAATACCAAAGTACAGCCCAATGGCAGAAAATTATTGGCCTGTTTCTGTGTCATATTTCTTTGTTCTCCTTGTGATGAATGAGGAACATGAGACTGGTGTCTGGTTTTGGAGGTATTTATCCCACAGAAAACATTTTCAACAGAGGCCTTCCAGGTGACCAAGAATGCAAAAAACCCCTACTATTAAAAAAGACACCATGCAAAAGCATTTTAGTAGTTAGAATGGATAGAGAACAGACATGGAGGGTCTGAACTGTAATTTCATCCCTTTCCCCTAAATTATTATGCATATTGAACTGTTTAGAACAAGTATTACTACACTGCAGCTGTGCTATGTTAGAAAACAGGTTTCAGAGATCTGTGGTAACCAGCTTAAATGAGTATAAAGTTAATCATAATATTTGGTTGCTCTTTTAGTTGTACTTAATAATTAGTCTAACCCTGCCTATTTGATAGAAAGTCTTTAAGAAATCTAGTTTCATTTCTTATATTTGCAACCTGTAGGACCTCAAACGGAGGAATGGAGGACCAGAATGAGCCTCCAGGGTCATCAAATCCAGCCCGCAATTTTATCCCCCCCCCCCCCCCCTTTTTTTCTTTTGCCAAAAGCTACATAACGTGATCCCCTTCTTAATTAAATTAATCAAACTGTATCTTAAAAAACAGTGGACTTTTTTTTCCCCTTTCTGCTTCGGTTATGTTGGTTGCATGATTACTCTAGAAACTCACTACCTGATAGAAACTTTCTCCTAATTTCTATTTATCTATATTCATGGACACTTTTCAACTTTGGAGTTTGTACTGTCATTGAGCGTGTGTTCTATTTTTTATTTTTGTCATGCTTCTTGATGTTTATGTCTGTCTTTTTTCTCCTGAACTTGCTAAGCTAAAGTTAAGCTCTTCTGGTGTCAGTTGCCCACTAATCTACTAATTTCCTACTATCTCCACAACCTCTGTCTTGTTCTCATTTGATTTCCAGAACATTGGTGACAATGGTTATCCTCATTTTTCCAGGTGACATGTCACCATTACCTTGTGCAGTAGCATCAAGATTCCCCATTTTGACTGAAAACACCTGACAGGTCACATTTCTTCTTGCCCTTTTTGCAGCCAGATCACAAACCTTACTCAGACTGTGATCAACTAATACACAACAATTGTTCTCTTCAAAATGAATTTCATGTACCATTGTATAGCAGATATTTTTATTTCTAGTCCTTATGTCTGTGTTTTTGAAAGAGCTTCTTTTTAATTATTGCTCAAGTTCTGGCTTAGTATTAGTCCACTCTGTTTTCTTCTTCCCAGCTCATAATACCAAGATACTTCTATAGTGCTCACAGGAGCATTGATGTAGCTGATTTTAGTATAAGACTTTAAGTAGAACTGCTTTGTCCTCACAGTCTAAGGATTATATTATTTTTCCAACTGATAGTCACTGATGGGAAAAGAAATTTAGATATAAAATCCCCATCTTCCGGGTTTGATCATGGGGAATGCCTGAGCAAAATATAGCATCTCCTTGGAGCTAAAGACTGCATTCAGTTTCTACCACCACCACTTTTCAGAATTTCAGGAATCCTACCTCTTGCGTTGATCAAGACATCCTTTTCAGTTTCCTCTCTGTGCTTACTTGGATTTTACGTCAAATCCAACTTTGGCAGCTGGAACTACTCTTATATTGCCTACTTATTACAAACACAGTGTTCTGGTAAAAGGTGAACAAATCACCTGAAATATAAGAAATCCCATGAAAAAGATAGATTCTAGTTTTACTTTATAGTGATGACATTCAGCAGTAAGATGTGTCCAAGATGAGTTACAATGCCCAGGAGCACAGATATTTGCTCCTCTGTTTGTTGGAAATAGAAATTTCTTGTTAATTTATCATACATATTGAACTCATTCATACTCATTTCTTTTCATTTTAAAGTGTGCTCACACAACTACAGTACTGAAACTGGTGTGCTAACATCTCCAAACTATCCCAATAACTACCCTGTCCGGACGGAGTGCATATACACCATCACAGTGGGAATAAACAGACAGATTGTGCTGCGCTTCACCAACTTCACCTTGGAAGGGAATAAACGCTGTACGGAGGATTATGTAGAAATCAGGCAAGCCTAATTATTTCTCTTGTCCTTATTACTGATAACCATAGAAGTTGACCAAATCCACTTAGGCATGTTCAGAATCTATAGTTTTAACTGTCAATGTGGGAAAAGGACTTATCAGAGAACTGTAAAGGCTACCTTTTCCCACTCCCATCCTGCTCCATTGTCGGCTTTCCCACTTGGTCAATTCCAGTTCTCGGAGCAAGTGGAGTATGCGGACTGTGTTCCCATGCACTGGTCGTTTTCCTTAGTGTGGAAACAAAGAGTTTTATTGCCTATTTTGTGACATATTCTGTTTTATGCTTGTAGTCTTTAAACAGCAGCTATTATATGATGCAGCACTAGGAAAAGGTACGTAATCTGCGATATTTGTCTATACTGGCATCACCATTAAACTTAGGATATTATCATGGTGATTTCCAGTAAATTTTACAGGACGGAGACAAGCAGAAGAAAGTTATATTAGCAGGAAGGTTAGCGGCATGCTTACAATACAGCTGTGCCAAGTACAGGTCCTCTCTGCTGTGTTGCTGTATAGGATTTACACTTTGCAGTGCCAGTGCACCCGTTTCTGTCCTTATGAGCCAGCTCTCTAGGTGAACCATGTCTGCAGAACGCCAGTGTGGTTTTTCACTCTGAGGATTCCATGAGTTTCCATGACCTCAAAGAGCACCATGATAAACCTCATTCTGAACATTATATCAGATGTTCGGTATGGGTTATTCCTCTGTAAGTAGTGTCTTATTTTTTAGAGCCAAACAAAAAGCTGCTTGCTGAAGTTGCAATATTGATCCTGCTGAATTAGCTGGTTATTTTCAGCTGTACATACAAACTGGAGAAAGTTATGAAAAAGTGAAAGGTTTTTTTCAATATTTTCTAAGTAAAGTATTTAATTTTTTCATTTTAAAACAACAATCTGAGATTAAATTTAATCTTTCTTTATTTTAACAGTTAACACCTTAATTTGGGGTAGATCTGAATTTTATAACAGGTTTGGTTTGTTGGTTTGTTTTCCCACACACACACACTTTTTCACCTTGAGAACTGAAAACATTTATTGCATAAATCTAACTCAGTTGTCACTGTGAAGAGCTCAGCAGCATTAAATGGGTTTTGAGATATGGACAGAACATTGCTAAGTACAGCTCAGCACATTGCTGCTGCCATAGCTGGATTTCCAGGATGTCTCATCAAACCTGATACTGATAAGAGGGGTAGCTAGATAAGTCTTAGGTGAGGTGCCACTCTGGTATCTTGTCCTGAGGTGTCCTCTGATAAATTGCATTCAGTTAACTAAGAAAATTATTCATCTGACCACAGCTGCAGAGGCCAAGATGCAAGTGAAGGGAGGTTCTGGCACAGTTCTTTGACTGCCAGTAACCTGAGACAGCAGCAAGCAGTTTAAGCTGGGAGGATGACAAGAAAACAGTGGCAAGGTCTAAGTAGAAATTTCTTTCAAAAGCAGGTATAAGCCTGTGAAAATGTAATTGAAAGTATTACTGTCCACTTAAAAAGCATCATATCAAGATCACACCCATATATAGATATAAATGTATTTATTATTGTCCTAATGACCTGTACGGTATTTGTAATATGAAAGTGCTTAAAGATAAGGTTAGAAAGCAATTGATAAGCAGATTGTCACTGTCTTTTTTATTCCCATGAGACACGTACAGGTAGCAAAACAGAAAATTAGATGTGCATCCTGATTAGAGTATTAGAAAATATTACTGGAAATACTACTTAATTTAAAAATGGGAAATAAGTGGTTGTAGAAACAATTCTGAAGGCTAAGAAAATATTTTAAAACATGTATCATATCAGTTCTGAGCAATGGGTTCCCATTTGTGTGGTGGCAAATAAACATGTTTTTTTAATGGGTCAGCTTATCTGGTTTTGTGTCCGGCTAAAGAGTGAGAAGTGAGTAAACTGCTGTTTCTTTATATCAGAAGACTACCTTTGGTTAAACCAATGATTGATAGAATACAGAGAAGGTCCTGTCTCTGCAACATCAAGTCTACTTGAGATACTTCTTGAGTCTGTCATTGCATTGACATACTCTGGACAAGGCTGCTGAGATAAGAGACTGGATATACCCAGCAAACAAGTCTTGTGATGCTTGTGGTAGGACTTCTTACTGCAAGTAGCCGGACTCCTCCAGTACTGGTAGCTGTATTGCTGTGGAAGATGAAGAGCCAGGATTAGTCTTTCCAAGGCCTGAAAGAATCCCCAGATTTTTGTTTTGCTAACATTTCTCATCATTTCCCTCTTTGACCCAAGGTTTTTCTTCTCTATCATTCTAGAGATGGAGGCTATGAAACTTCTCCTCCTCTTGGAAAATACTGTGGTACAGACCTGCCTCCTGTTATAATGTCTCATGGTGACAAGCTGTGGATAAAGTTTGTAAGTGACATATTTGGCACAAGAAAGGGATTTTCAGCAGAGTGGGATGGTACATCAGCAGGTAAAATGACCACATTAAGTATGAAACCATTTTACACATCTCATTTCTTTCATTTATATTTAATTTTGCACATTTTCCTCCACATCTTTTCTGCTTCCCATCTTCTAAAAACTGTCTGCTAATTATATAGCAACATATATTCATGTTGTTAAGATTAAGGATACAACTTTCTTGATCCTTGGGCTTTCTTTTTATCCATAGGGAAGGATATACTACTCCCTAGATATAATGTAGCACCAACTTTCTTGTATGTTTAGGAAAGCAGTAACCACGAATTTAATGGAGAGGTTTCTATCGGAAGATTAGCTGTCTATCAGAAGCACTCTTCAAATTAGATGATAGTTAATATTTCTAGGTGCTATGGGCTCTCTTCTGCTTACAACACTGTTGGCTAAATGTAGATTTTTGGGACATCAATGAAGATGTTCAGGCCATGTGAAGAAGGTCAGTAGCATGAATCTCCCACATCATGTCTAATTCTCTACTCTTCTAGGTGTTAAATGTTGGTTTGGTTTCTTTGCCATTTTCAGGTTGTGGTGGGACTTTGACAACTGCTTCTGGTATCTTCATGTCTCCCAACTACCCTATGCCATATTACCACAATTCAGAGTGCTACTGGTTGCTCATAGGAAACCGAGGAACCCCATTCGAAATCCAGTTTGAACAGTTCCATCTAGAGTATCACCCAAAGTGCAACTTTGATTACCTTGCGGTATGTACCTTGTGATACTTTGCTCCACAGGAGGCAGCTGAGTATGATGAGGCAAGGAAAAACACATAGCCCTGGTCTTCAAATGTTTGTAAGTGAACAGACCCAGACTAGGAAAGGTCCATGCTGACATGCTACCTTACATCACAGAGCAGTGAGATGTAAGGCAGCAGAGTCTGTGTAGCTGCTGGTAAGAAAAAACATTTATGTCTAGATAGAAAGGCCACTGAAACAAGAATCTGTCTATATCTTTTAAATTTCTTGTGTTTTGGGCCAACGCCTTGATATGGTCTCTTAGTAAAGTACAAAGAAAAAGGCAGTGTCAGTAACCCTATTGTTAATCCCAAATTTCATATTTGAATTGTTGCATAAATTAAGTATTTTTAATAGAGTTGAAACGGAGTGCAGTTTCCCCCTCTTGGTGAGCCCCTCAAAACCCACCAGTATTCGGTTACTGGCTTCCTGTTTTTCCACTGATTTGCTTGTTTCTGAAATGCCTGTCAGACTTCCTCTGAAAGCAGAGGAAAGCAGAAATAGAATTTAACCTCTTGTATACCCAGTAACAATTCACTAAGCAGACATTTGTCAGCGGAAAATTTATTGGATTTGTAATGCCATCAGCTTGATTAAATTACCTTTTATTGTTTTTTTTTTAAGGTATATGATGGCAACAGCAGTAATGCTAAACAACTAGGTAAATTTTGTGGGAATCAGATACCACCGCTCATCCATTCCAGTGGAGACAGCATGTATGTAAAACTAAGGACAGATAGCAGTCTGCGAGGTGGAGGTTTTTTAGCTAAATACAAACAGGGTAAGTAGAAGAAGATGAGAAGAACATGTTTCTACAATTCAGCTCGTTCCTGAAAATGTTTCTTGCAGCCCATGATCTTACCTATTCATGAGCAGAGGACAATATATAGAGTATGTTATTGACCCAGATTCTCTAGTCTGCTACACTCACAGAACACCGAATGCTAAAAATCATCTGCCCATCTACCCGTGATGGAGATTATCTCCTCCAACAAAGAAAGCTGGTGAGGTGGCTCTACTTCTATTACCTGCACCAGTGTCACTTACCACTCCAGATTTACTCAGTATAACAAGTGCTGAAAGTCCATAGCAGGGTAGATTGGAGTGTTCTTGCTCTTCTGCTTACCCGTCTCCTGACTTCTTAATAGAGAAGGCAGATAGAACAAACTTCTCTGCTCTTCTAGCTGCTTGTCAGGGGCAGGATGGCAAAGGATAAGTGAGTTACCCTCAGCCATCCTGGATCATTGTGGGTGCTTAGAATCATTTAGCCTACTTGGAACACTATAAAAAAATTTCATTTTTTATATCTTATGGTAAGGGTCACATTTTTCTTGCAAACTGTTTTTTTGTAAAATAGTTTTACCCCAGAAATATCAGAATAATAACATTTGGAGAAAAATCCAAGACGATACATGACAAATCAAAGTTATTTTGTTCCCAGTCATAATCTTGAATATATATCGTCCTGGTGTTTACTTTTCTCCTTACATTCTAGTGTATATGGTTAAATGCACATTGGAATATACGAAATTTCACCACATCATACAAAATTATTTCAGGCATCTTTGCGTACCCTAACTATGACATGCCCAAGTGATAGAGATTGCTGTAGGTTTATAGACATTAAGTTGTCCTAGGTTTGGACAATAGTAAATGGATTATGAAAAAACTAAAGCTATTCATCCATAACATGGCACATACAATAATTAGGAGAGTGAAGGAGCTTTAGGTCCCTCATTCCTTAAAGATATCAAAGATTCATCTACCATGTACTTTTCCGACTGCAAAGTCAAGGCGATATTTTAGAAAAGGGTTTTTCCCTTTCCATTAATGAAACAGAAAAAGCACTTTCAAAGCACTCAGATGTAGAACCTGAGCTATCAGATAATGTGATCTACACTTTACATTCATACTTAATTCCTGAAGATGCATCACAGAAAGCTTTCAATGGCTTGCCAAAAGCTAAAATTATGTAGGAAGTAGTGGTATAAAATAAGAATGCTTAGATGCCAGATACATTTATGTGTACATGAAAGAAACATAATGATGAATTGGAAAATATTGCAAAGAAACATGCTATCAAGTTAACATTCAAAGACACCTTTGTGCCTGATATGTTTCTAATTAAATCCTGATGGCAGGGGGTAGCAGCTTTTATCCATCTTGCATTCTTCAAAATCCATTTTGTGCTCTTCATCCTGTCCTTTCAAACACTTGTATGCTTCAGTGTAGCTTTGCAGACAAGCAGCACTCCACCTGACCCTGACCTTCAGCTGTATCCTGAGCATTTTGAAGTCCTAAAAAAACAGACCTTGCTGCTCTGTAAATCATTCCGAAAGAATCAAAAGAGTTTGCAGGAGGTAGGTGTATTATCCCTACTGACAGACAATAGAAGAGTTTTGCAAGTGAATCTCAGCAATTTCTGCTGTTCAGACACTGCAGATTTGCTGTACAAAGCAAAGAGCCTGTCCTGCTCCCTGCCACCTGCCCACTTCTTTGTGCATTACACTGGTCTGCTCCCGATACACATTATGTGCTGTCTCTAGATAAGGGATTGCCCACATGGATATTTTCTATCTTTAGTGAAAGTTAGATACAGGAAAATGAGACTCACTAACTAATGCCATAGTTGTAATTTCACTCTTTATCTAGTTTTGTTTCTTTTTCGTTTTCTCTGCACTTCAAGGAAACCTCTTATTATTCCAGGTGAGTGTCCAGTTCTTATGCTAGGATGTTATTGGATGACTCATGAGGAAAATCATGGCTCCTTTTTAAAGAATTTCATGATCATTTCCAGTTCCTGGAGCTAGAAAATCCAGTACAAGTAGTGTACTTTACATTTGTTGTTTTAGCCAGGACTTATTTTTTTCCAGTTTACTGAACTAAACCACTTTAATCCATTAGTCAATCTTTGTTGAGCACCCTCCCCAAATTTTTTCAAATGACAGGGACAATTTCTACTATTAGTTAAAAAAATACATCAAAGACAACGTGTTTTTCCATGTATTTAGAATTGAAGAAAACTGCCAAAATATACGTACTACATAAACGATTCTGCAAGCGTCAGAAAAGAAGGACATAATAGAGCTGAAGGATTCAAGTTTGGAAAGTCTGGATTTTGTTTGCAACATATGCAATGTGTTCTTCAATAGGTCACAGTTCTCTTTCTGCATGATTTATTTTCTGTAATCTGTGAATAAAAACATTTCTCACCTTGTAATGCTATCAGTAACTTCAATTAGTAATTTTTTGAGATACTGGGTTAATAAGCACTGCACAAATATAATTTATTATCACTTTTTTTTTCAGTTTGCCACGAAGTACTGACTGTTAATCGTAGCCATGGCATATTGGAAAGCTTAAATTATCCAAATAATTACCCATTAAATGAGCATTGCAACTGGACTATCCAAACTACAAAGGGGAACACACTCAACTATAGCTTCACAGCCTTTGATGTAGAAGATGGATCTGACTGTGACCGTGACTTCTTGAAGGTATGTACCCAGATTCTAGAAACAAGAAAAATCAGGTCTTCTTCAATAAAGAAAAACAATAAGGATGCAGAAGACCAAGGGGAAATTTGTCTTATCTAAATTTAGCCTTTAGAACTCAAGTGTTAAGTCCAAACAAGTTGTCCCTATTTCCTCTGCAATTAGAAGGGACCGAAGCATTGCCAGTGAGCACTTCATCCTACCTGGATGTGGGTGTCTGCAATAGGGAGGATGAATCACTGTGCAAGTGCCTAGATTTGTTCCAAAGAGTCAAGCCACCAACTTAGATTACATGCATGGGCTTTTATGGGTGAAGTGAGATGTCATGATTCCAGCTTCGTGTAAAAAAGAACAAATCCTGAGATTAGTAAATTGATTGCAAAAAGGCAATGAGCCCAGTTATTTTTGTCTTGTTTTTATCTGAGAAGAAGTGGGGAATGTTCAAAACCTTTAAAATGTGTTATTTGTACATTTTTAAAGGGAGGTTGCTGTCTCTCCTGTTTATATTTTCATAATTATTCTGCTTCTTTAAAGGGACTGACAGAAACTGAATTTACCCACAAACAAAATAAGACATTTCTAGCCAAATAAAACCATCCAGTCAATGTAAAGCCAAGTACCCTTTCTTTTCATTTCCCCAAAAATTTTATTTCTAGGACAACTGAAAAGTTATTTTCTCTTAGTTTTGTACTTCGTACTGTGAGAAGTAGAGTGCAGTCATGATCACTGCTATACTGAGGATTACAATCTCCTGCCTACAATTTCACTGTGTTGCTGAACTAATCCATCCTTCAGATCTCACCCTTGTACAGGATGCCAGCACGTAGTCCCTGTGCTCTACTTAGGTTTTGCACAAGAGGAATTGAAATTTAGAGAAGTGTTAGAGAAGACTACTTACAGCCAAGGAGAGGGCTAAGTAAGAGCGGCCACGTTTCTGGGGATACTTACACTGAGGTCTTGCAGAACATCCAGCAACAGGACTGGTGATGGGCTAATCTGTTCTCTCTAGATGTCCTCCTTACTATGCCAGCTTTCACAGCTCAAAATGGGTAATAAACCAGCAAAAGTGATGTTCTTCCAGCTTTCTTCTCTTTGTGACCAGGAATGGAAAGAAAGAATAGACATGTGAAGAAAATAAACAAGGGAGCACTGGATTGAGAACTAACTATTAAACCCTGGTTCATTTTTGTGAGGAGACTGAAAAGGAAACATTGGAGCCAAGTGGAGAGGCCAGTGCTAGTCTCAAGATGCCTAAGCCCTTGATCCATGAAAAGCAGGAGCCCTGCACACAGTAGCCAGGCAGTGAGGAGCAAACACTTGCCAGAAGACGCTATTCTAGACGTAAGTCAGGGCTGGAGGACGAGTGCCAGAGGCAAGGATCTGATCCAAAGCACTTAAAAGAACAGAAATAAAGCATATTGGAGGGAGTGAGGAGACATGGAGCAGAAAAGTACTTGCACTCTTTGTTTTAACAATTTTTCAGTACTTCCAATCAAAGAAAATGCAGACTGAGAGAGGTATAAAGAGGAAAATGCAAGGGAAAAACAGAGTCATGGAAGTGTGTTAAGGAGGCTTTAATTTGCAATTCATGTGACATTACTTACAAATCTTTCTCCAAATGCCATTAAGAAATACCACTTGGAAAAGATGTTCTCACTTGGTTGTTGCATGCTGCAAAATATGTGCCATAGTGTAAAAAAGAGAACAAGGTTGAACCAGCAAGGGAATGAACTGAATAGTGTTTTCTCCCACCCTGCCTCTTGCGAAAGGGGAGCATGTTGGCAAGGCTGTGAGTGCTCTGTGGTGTAGGGGAAAGGGGGAATCATCTGGAACAAGTGTGTGGTTTACTTTCTAAGCAGACTGCAGATATTTGGGACTTTTCTGTCTGAAATCCATGCAGAGTCTGACGCTACTGCAAATTGGAAAAAAGGTTAATAAAAAACCCCAACAAACAACTCATAGCTGTTCAGCTAAGATAAATTATTTTTCTGCCACATGCTGGTTTTGAGATTCTTTTATTGCAAAGAGGCCTAAAAGGGGAAAGCTCTGATGCCCTGGCTGAGTATAACACTGGGAAAGCAGAGGTATAATCCCGTTCACTGTAGTCCGAGTGGTGCGTGGACCATGTGTCAGAGCCCTTCACCATTTTCTTGGAGGAAATAGGAAGCTGCTGCTCAGACAGTTTCCATGTAGCTGCATGCACAAACCGGAGTGGCCACTGGTGCTGATGAGGTGTTCTTTTTCCCCAGGAGCTTTTAGGTGCCCCTTTTCCCATCTCCTTTTGGGTTTGGTGGCAGCAAGTCTCCCACTTCAGCCCCTTGCAGCAGGCGGCAACACCTTACTTGTCTTCTTAGGTCTGACAGTAGCAGCCTGGTGCTTCATGGCAGCTAGCAGACAGCAGGTCTGCTGGCAATATTTGCTGCTACTTGCTGAGAGGCTGGGAATGGGAAGGACAAGAGTTAGCTGTTAGGTTGGATTAGGTGATGATCACAGTTGTGGTGGTAGAAGGAGTAAGGTAAAGTGATAGGTGATAGAGAAGGACAAAATTAAATGTTGCAGAGGTGTTATGGCAGAGAGCTGACCTGCCTGAGCAGAGAATAATCAAGACATGGCAGTTGCAAAAAAAACCCACCACAACCCCACAAACAAAACCAAAAAGCAATAGCAGAGCTGCTTTTAAAAGTCAGTGGGAGAAATGCATTTAATGCATGTGGACATATTACAAATGTCTCAAACTAGAGCTCTGATTTTTTTGAAATCTTTCTGAATTCTGAAGGAGAAAATCATGGTGCTTGGTGGGGTGGGGACACTAGACTGGGCAAGCTGTGTGTTCCTGAGTACTGCTGGACCTGGCCCGCTGGACACTGCAGTTTTGGTACCAGTCTCCATACTGGAAAAGGGCCTGTTCTTCAGCTTCATGTTTATTTATGACTTACACATCTGACCCAAACCCACATGTACTATACAAGATGAGCATTTTGCCTCATGACTAATTCGGTCTGATATACACATAATATATTAATTTGCTACTTGCTCCCTGGCTAAATCAACATATGAGTCAGAAATCAAATATGTAGAATAATGAGAAAACCAAGTTTCTACACATGGGTATTCCTAGTGGTTGTCAGTTACCAAAGATGTTATCATCACTTAAAGCAAATAACTTTCAAACACAGGACAAGGAAAAAGATAGTCAGATGTCCAAAGAATACAAGTAAGTGCAATTACAGTATGTAGCTGTCCCAGACTGAAATGCAGTCACAGCTGTACAATGAGAAATCAGCCATGTATTGCGTTACCTATTTCCTTTTCTCCTTTGGTCATGGGATGCTTCTTGTGAGCCAGAGTGCCGTTTGCAGCAACTGGCTGGTGTTACTCATGGTGAGCAGCATTCACTCTCTGCAAGGAGCCTTGAGTGACTCTGACTCGGTCTGGCCAGGGCAGGGCCTGCACCTCCACTGCTTCAGCATGTACAACTATTTATACCAGTGTCAAGGAGGAAGGAAAAAGCCCTGTTCTTCTGACTAGGTGGCAAATTTCTGCCCCTGTGTGTAGGTGCCAGAAATCGAGAAGGGGCAGCATGGAAGGGAGGCAATGCGGCAGGTTTTTTATAATGTCAGTCTCTAGCATGGATCTCATATGAGCACTTCCTCAATAAATGAGCAGTGTGCAGTGTTTCATGGCCTGTCAGAGGATGTTAGCTCATTGCTAGTAATGCTCACAGGATGTGTGACATTTTGGAAGGAGTTTTACGGCAAAGTTTCAAGAAGATGAGATTAATTGCTTGTGATAAAGACATGTATAGAAGTGGCAATGACATGATACAAGGCAGACCAAATAGCAGACTGTTTTCTAGAGATGATGCACTAACTGTAATTAGATTCGATGGGCTTTAAATTATATTGTGTGCTGTGGCTTGGCTTAATAACCTAACATTAGTCTTTCTAGAGGAGTCATCAGGCTCTAGCCAGTGAGATATTGCAGACAATGACATAGAAATGTCATTCCTTCCTCTACATTCACCAGGTTACTAGCTGAACAAGCATATATTTAACTCCCCATCTTTAATGATTGATGACCTTTTTATTTAGTATGACAGAACATAATCTCTGTGGAGGCAAAGCTATTTTATAAGTAAGGAGAATGTCATATTATTGCCCTGAAGATCAGAGTCTTGCAGTAGGACTGAAATATACTCCTTTCTTATCCAAGAGAAATATCATTTGAAAACCACTAATCTTTCTGTCCTTCAGTGACAATCTCCCTCTATGTTCTTCCGCTCCCTTGAGGTCCAGTCTGTTTAGCATCTGCTTTTAATAAGTAGAGGGAAGACCTTGCCCAGCCTTTTGCAAGACGCCACCAGCCTGATAAGCAGATAGTAAAATTGGGTCATGCAGCAAAAAAAGTTTCAGAGCTCTCTGTTTGAGTCTCATGCCTTTGGTGTGTGTAGCACGTTTGTCTAACAGCAAGGATGGAGTTATCCTTGGGTTAATGCAAAAGAACATCTTCTGAGGGCAAACAACTGCCTGATAACAACAGTAGCCTTCCTTCTGCTGCAGGGCAGGACAGAGTTCCTCTTTGGAATAGCTTGCTTACTGTCTGTGTATTTAAGCAGTCCAGAGTCTTTCAGCAGTTAGGCTCGGAGTGGTTAAAATACCACTGCACCCTTATATGTGGAATATTATTAAATGGTACAGTAATTAATATGGCATCTGCTCTGAGAACTGTTTCATTTCCTTCTGGTGGTAACAGGATATGTCCTTTTTTTTTTCTTTTTTAAACCACAGTAGCATTCCAGAGATGTGCCATAATATCCTTTTTCTCCATCTGGGAATACTGCATTAGATAATTGCTGCTTGCACTCAGCTGGTCATCCTCTTTTTTTATTAGCTTATCATAGGAGGGGAAAAAAAGCTTACCCTGTTTCTAGTTTTACTCCCTTTTGTACTTGTAATTAGTAAATATGCTTAAACCATATTAGAAGAGTAACATTATTACATTTT